CCGGCGGGCAGTGCTTTCAGTACGCCACCAGTCCATGGCTCCAATGCCAATCCCCAGAGCAACGGTGGCCAGGCAGCGGGCACGGGCAATCAACCCGGACAGCTGATGAGCTCCAACTCCAGCCTGATGAACATGGCCACCATGATCGACACGTTCACGGATGCCCAACTGCAGTCCAACCAGATCTCAAGCACTGTCCTGGATTCGCCGTACTCCTATGACTACCAGACGGGCTCCTACATAGACTCCAGGAACTACTATGGCCAGTGGCCAACGCCCCATGCTGCGATGGGTATGCAGGCGCAGGTTGGACCAGGAGGACCAGGAGGAGGCGGAGCAGGAGGTCCTGGGGGAGCGGCGGTGGCCGGAGTGCCACCACTGACACCCACCACGCCCACGGCTCAGCCACAACTGGGCGTGCCACCGGCAACCTCTGTGCCCGGAGGAACCACCACTGGAGCGGGGGCGCCAGGGGCACTTCCGCCCACAGCTCCTCCTTCGGCCACTCCCACCCAACTAGAGACGAGCAATGGCTATGGACCGGGGAGCTATCAAACCCTGGTCAGTAATCCCGCCTCGAATCTAGCCAATCCCGTTGGCGTGACCACGGAGGTGCAGCAGCAACATCAGCAAACCCAACAGCAACAGACAGCCCTAACGGGAGGAGCCATACCAGGTGGTCTGCCCGCAGTGGGCGGAGGAGTAGCACCCGGTGACCTCAAGAGCCGGCTGGTCAGCGGCGAGGAGAACCCGGACTCCACCACTCTGGTGAACCACCATCATCACCATCACAATCTCACGGAAAGCAAACTAACCGCCCTAACGGCCATGCAACCGATGACGAACCTCGCGCAGCTGACCACCTCGCATCATCATCCGCAGGAGGGATTCGTGAAGCCGAAGCCACCGCCCAGCGACTATACGGCCCAGTATACGGCGCAGTATCCAAATAACTACCAGATGTACCCGCCTCCACCACCGCCGCCGCATTCGGCGTACTCCGCCTACGATGCCTATCAGAACATGAACTACAACTATGGTTATCACCAGGCGTACTCACCCTACGGGATGTATCCCCAGCAGACGCCTCCGCCTACGCCTCCTCCACCATCTCCCAACTGGAATATGTATGGTCACCATCAGACGGGGTCCGTCAACTCCGGTTACGGTGGTGCCAGTCCTGCAGCGGGAGCGGGCTCCCTGATAGCCACCCATGGTGCAGCGGCGCCTGCGGGCGTGGGCATCCAGAAACCCATAATTCCAATGCCAGGCCCACTGCATCATCAGCAGCAGCAGGTGTTGCAGCAACAGCAGCAACATCAGCAACAGCAGCAGCAGCAGCAGCAGCAGCAGCAGGCGCAACAGGTGCAGCAGCAGCAACAGGAAGCGCCACAAACGATATTACCCGACCTGAGTAATGGCCAAACCACCTCCGACACAGTAGCCACACCGACGCCCACTGGCGAATCCCCTAGCAATGATGTCGGATCAGGCAATCCCGCAGGAAACCAAACACCCACGGGTGGAGCAAGTGCAGCATCCACTGCACCGCCTGCTGCCTCGCCGGGAAGCACGAATACCAGCAAGATCGAACCCATTGGCGAGGTGGCCGAGATCAATGAGAACATCGAGGCCTTCCAGGATCCCCAAATGGGCGGCGTGGCCATTGCCCTGAATCACGGGAGTGTCCTGATCGAGTGCGCCAAACACGAGATGCACGCCACGACGGCGGTGCGAAGGCCAGACCGTCATCATCCCACGCGGATGACCCTGATCTTCTACCAGCACCGGAACCTCAATCGGTGTCGCCATGGCATCGATGAGTGGGAGGAGAAGATGCGGGTGAAGAAGATCAACACGGATCTGGACAACAAAGCCAAAGAGGAACGCGAGCGACTGATTAAGAAGGCGGCTGGCGAGGATCTGGACGATCTGGATGAGGATGCCCTCATGGACGAACCACCCCCCGTTAAGAAAGAGTCCTCCGCCAATGGCCAGCAGCTGAAGAACGGAGCCAGCGGCAGTAAAAAGAAGAAGAGCAGTGATTCCAAAAAATCCCAGAATGCCAGCGAGCAGTCAAAAAACGAGAAGGTTGCCCTCCACGCACCAACACTGACGACCACGTCGTGGACGACCCTGTTCCCCATGCATCCGTGCGTGGTTTCGGGGAAATATCCGGAGGGCAATAGCAGTCCGACCTCGTCCACGAACAACGCCCCCAACGGTGGTGGTTGCCCCGCCCAACAGCAGCAGCAGCAGCCGCCTCCTCCGCCTGGCAGTGGGCTCACCCACACCCACCCTCCGCCGGGCACGCCCACTGGCGCCGGAGCAGCTCCACCACCCATCCCGCAACAGCAGCAGCAGCCGCTGCCGCAGCAGCAGCAGACCTGAATCTCTTCAGGCTGAGGGGCTACTACTGGTAACCAACCGCCGGAGTCCGCTGGATAGCCCTTATGTTAAGCACCCACACAAATCAGCCCTGTTCCGGATTTCACATACGATGGGATTAGGTGGTTTGGAAAGTAGTAAATGGATTGTATTCCAAAAAAATTTCAAAATTGATTTGGGAAGAATAAATATTGAACTAATACCCCAACAACTAAGAAGGGTTTTAAGGTTTTAAAATTCAAAAACAGTTTAAAAAAGTGTAGTAGCCTTCTAAAATTTTTTTTCCAAAAAAGATTTGAAATCTAGATGTTCTAGAAATTTGGGTTTTATAATAATTTAAAACGCACAGTTCTCTCAAAAAGCTAGATCAAAAACCAAAAAATTTGACATTTTTTTAGTGTGTAGGCTGTATTTCAAAATTATCGAACTCTAACAAGAGTAGAACCAAACCAAAAATTTAAGCAACTTCAAGGAATTCTAACAGATCATAAAGTTAAAAAAAACTTAACCAATCCATTAAAAAAGTTATGAAACCACCCATAAATCAAAGTGAAATCAAAGAACAGGGTTGTATGACTGAAAATTCACTCAAAGCAAAGAAAAGAAACGGAGACAGAAGAATTAATTATTTTTGTAAATGCGTTTGATTTCGTGTGCCATAGGAGGAGAGTATGAAAAGTCCCCGGAAAAGGAGTTGCAGTTAAAAAAAGTACAGTTGACGCTGCCAGGCCAGAGTTGTCACCATTCCACAAGAAAGAACACCCAGATACATCACACTTTTCACTCAGCAAAAAAACCAACCACAAAAATAACAAGTTTCTAAACTGATAATGCAGTTAGTTTAAAATCAACTATTAACTTTAGTTTCTTAAGAGCCAGCAACAAAACAATTTCTGTTAAATGAGTTATTTTTTAAAGACAAGCAAAATGCAAACTACAGAACAACAACAAAAACGAATACTACTAAAACAAAAACTAAATAAAGAAATTTTTGCTTAGAAACAAAAAGTCATATTAAGAGTTAGTGGAAGTTGAAAAAAGAAAGATCATTGCCAAAAGTACAAATAAACCATTTTTTAACAAGCAACTAGAAAAACGTAAAGAATTTCGCAAGACAACAAAAGAAAATAGTTGGTAACAGAGGAAAACAGTTTTTACAAAAGAACTACACTACACTACAAGAGTTTTAAATTTAGTTAAATACCCCCTTTTTCCAACAATTTGACTGTCCTTTGGGATTGGCTCGAAATTGAGTGGCAGTGCCAAACGAATTTAAATTGTATGAAAGGGCAAATGAGGAATTTCTCTCAGGTTGATCAAGAACACTGAAAGAAATTTCCCATATGCTCAGCTGATTTACCGTTAAACCAGACCACAAGCAAAACAGTTGAAAATGGTGCGAGCAGGACAACTAGAACTACAACTAGAGAAGATTTGAATATTTTTGAGCAAGTGAGAAAGAGACAAGCAGAGCGGCACACGCTCGGTGAGAAAGAGACGAACCGATGGAAATGTAAGGCAGCAAGACATTTTTTAAACTTTAATCATAATTTAAACTAAGTTTAAGCAACACACACACACACATGCAACACAAACGAAAGTTAAATATATTTATTTATGCGCAAATCGACGGCAAATAAGGGGTTAATTCTAGTTATTATTATTTCTGCAAGATTTAGTTTGAAAAACCCAAAAAGACTCGAAACCAATCAAGTATTAAGCACTAAACAACCAACAACTAATACTAAACTTATTTGCCTAACCATTTGTAATTGTTGTATAAAACTCAATTAATAATTTGCATCCATCCAAAAGTTAAAATAAAAATTAAAGATTAGAATGCAAATGTGGCAGCGCAACTGAATTTCAAATCAAATTAGTCTACATATAAATATATTTTGCACAAAACAAAAATAAAAAACAAATTAAAACAAGGAAAGGATAAGCAAAAACGGTTATTGATAATACGATTTTTAATTTGACGAACGGACATATAGATCGTATGTAAACTGTACGTAATGTAATGTAAATGTAAGGCAGCGAAGAAGACTTTTGAGCAACAAGAAAAAACATGTTTTGATAAATATTTAAATGTTTATATAAATATATATATATTAATATAACTTATGATAATTGATTAACTGATTACGCAAGCCAACAACTATTATAGTTTGTAAATGCTTTTTTATCATTTTCAAATAAAAGCAAATCCTTTGCCATCATTAAGTTACACACCCCAAACCGACTTTTGAGTTTCGCGGGGCGCCCGGCGTGCACCTTATATATAAACTATACGTATTGGCATATGATAAAGCAGAAACAAAAACCAATTAACACTGAGCAGCATAAGTAATAAGCGGAAATCAGAAATTAGAAATCAGAAAAGAGAAGATAACGCACCTGATTTAACGAGTTTCAGGTGCGAAATCAGCGAGAGATACGATATTGCGATGATACATACATATTGTAAAACGATACACACAAAACGAGAACGTATATACAGATTGTGAAGCACGAAGGTCGATGGATGAGAAAAAACATAAATTATATTTATTTAAAGTACGCGCATGGAAAGCAACCAGATATTAATATTAAATAAAACGAAAACAAAGTTAAAATCGCCATACTGCTTTTTTCTTTTACGCTTTAGAAATGGGTTTGTGGGGGTAACACTTTAGTAAAGTATCTACCTAGCCCAATGTTATTTTAAAAATTATTGGAATACAAATTTTCTGGATCACAAAACCCAAGACAATTTTAATGCTTACGTTCACTATTAATTTACCTTTAATAAATTGTTTACTCAGAACTTTGTTTAAAACCAAACAAAATTCCAAAACTTTGTCACAAATCATTTTTGTCGCAAAGGGAATTACTTTGAGATGCACTATTTATAAAGATACATTTGAAGTCCTTAATATAGCTATGGAAATGTGCGCTTGAGTCGGGGTAAATTGTAAATTAGCCCAATGGCCGTACAACCTATCTAGCCTAGTTATTTACATCGAAGCTTTTTAAGTACATGGCAAGTGATATCGCTGTGCAGCGGTTAAAGGCTGAGGACTAGGTCCTGCGAGTAGTTGTCCAGTGCGGTTTGATTGAAGGAGCCAAAGTTCCAGTGCTGGAAGCGATTGCTTGGGTCGCATTTGTTGGCCACCACCTCCTGCGTGAAGGGCAGCAGCTCCAAGCATCTTCTCCCCTCCGAGCCGTGCTTGAGCAGCTTCTTGTGGTAGTCGTAGTACCAGTACTGGTTGCCACCCTGGTTGTGGCAATCCCACAGCCAAACGGGCGCATTGGCATCCCAGATCTGGACGTCAAGGCACTCCTTCTTTCGACGCAGCCGCAAGTCTCGTTTCCAGCTCAGCTCCCAAAATTGCGTTTTCTGCGGGATCTTTATATCGTTGGCACACGCGTACATGCCCATCTTGTTGTGCTTCTTTCTGCCCATCGTGTCCAGGCAAAGATTCTGATTCCCCACATTCTGGATGGCACCAAGAGCATATGCCGGCGGATCTATCGGCGGATAGGTTTTCATCAGGTCGAAGGCCACCTCCTCCATGAACCACTTGAAGGACTTGCACTTCAACTTGGTGCGGATCGCCTTCTGCGCGGTCAGGTCTCCAGGGTCCACACTCTCGTAAAGTCCATCGCCGTGGTTGTACAGGTAGTTCTTGTACTCGTCCATCCAAACCTCAGCCACGCGTTTGTAGTTCTGCAAAATAATCAAGGTTTTATTATTTAATTGGTTTATAAAACGATGTGATCATAAAAACGATCTAAAGAATCCTCAAACCGCGTTGGTTGTCATGGCTCGAATTCACATTTACATGGTAAGGAATCTTACTGCATTGTTAAAAATAACTTTTCACAACTGATTGTAAAGTTTGCTGACCCCAATGATCAAAAGTAAACATTACAAACAAATAAAGATATTTCAACAAGATTATATTGGCGTGAATATCTATCTGTATATGTATTTAGCAGTAACACGTCAAATTTTCTGGCTAAAAATGTTTGAAATCTTGCAAGCTATATATTTATGAGAATAGGATCTGATAAAAGCCATGTTTACAGACCAACGAACTTTAATAGGGCCCGTAATAAAAAGAGGAAACTAGTTTCTCTGGCAAAAGCTAAACTATTGAGCGCGACTCTTCATGCTGACTATAAATATATTGCTTATTTACAAGAACGGGGCTTAAATTATCTCGCTTGTATGTTTCACGTTGATCCCTCTTTTTAATGACCCTTTTAAATCGGGTTTTTGATTGGTTTTTATTCTCTATAGATCTACTCACCTTGTGCAGATAGTCGCCCTTCCTTGGACTCGGCTGATGGTTGCGAGGTCCTCGATATATATGACCAATGCGAGAGCAGGGAGCGTCATACATCTCGCCGCCGCACATCCAGATCTTGAAGCTCAGCTCGTACTGCTCGCCGCCCCAGATGTCCAGACCCTCATCGTAGCCGCCCAGTTCCCAGAAGAACTCCGAGGAAATGGCAAAGAGACCGCCAGCCATTACAGGGCTCTTAAAGGGATCGGCCGGGTGCTTAAGATCCTCCTCCAACAGGGGCAACCGCTTGTAGAAGAACTCCCAGTCGAAGGCTCCTCGGGCTCCTTCATCCTGCGCTCGGTAGTTGAAGTTGGAGTGATCAATCACATCGATGAAGGGACACACCGCCGTCCTCTTGTTCAGGGCAATGGGTTCCAACAACGGTGGCAACCAGTTGTAGTTGGCCTCCACGTGCGAGTCCAGGAAGATGAGCACCTCGGCAGTGGCATTCCTAGCTCCAGCCGCTCGGGCTCCTATCAAGCCCGTGCGCTTTGGCAATCTCACCACGCGGACCCACTTGAAGTGTTCCTTAATGTAGGTCTCCAGATCGTGACCCAAATAATCTCGATCGCTGTGATCGTCCACCAGGATTATTTCCTTGAGCAGTTCCGGCGGCGAGCGGTTGATGAGGCTGTGAACTGAGCGCATCAGCACGCTCAAGTATTCGTTGTAGAAAATGATGATTACACTGACAGTGGGTAACTTGGCGACATACTCCTTCTTGCGACAGCTAAAAAATATAGATAAATAAATGCAAAGTTATTTTTAGATCTTCCAAAGTGATATAAAACAATAAACATTTGAATAACAGGCTCTTATCGAATTATTATCACAATAAACGTGACGTGTGATAAGCTTTTCTTCACATAATAAGAAAGCTACAATGTATTCATTTGGAGAACCACAGCCTTATCACAGCTACTACGTTCCTCAAAAATATGTGATTTATAAAAAACTCACAGAGGGTGGCGGATGTCGGGCAGGGAGCGGTTGACCGATATAGAGTCCGAAAGCAGGGCATTAAATCCATTGTCCAGGGACATTTGTTTCTCCAAATCTCGCTGGGATTCATCGTCCAGCGAGGCGGCCTTCCCCCTCTCCCCGAGACCCACTCGTTTGGCATCCTTTTCCATGGCTGTGTAGTCGTGCCAATCCTTCTTCACCGACGCATCGGCTGGCGGAGCCATCTGCAGCTCCTCCTGGGGCTGCTGCCCAGGCTCATCGTTCGCAGGTCTTGGATTGTGGACATCCTGATCGTCTGGTTCCGGCTCATCGACCTTCTGCTGCTCAGGATCCTCTTCAGAGTCGGGTTCCGGTTGTTTCTTAGGCTCTGGTTGTCTAATAGCTGGCACCCTTAACTGAATATCGCCGGAAAGGCCAGCCTTTTCGGGCAAAGGTTCCACGCCTCCATGATGGACGGGTTTATTGGTATACGGGCTGGAGGAGATCCAACTGGTTATCAGTATAAAGAGTGTCACAGAGACCAACAGAAGCAGCGAGGCCTTCACTATCCACTTGAGATTGGGTCGCCGCATATTTGCCGGAAATCCGTGGCTACGTGTCCGCTCTACGGGTGAATATGTGAACCATTAAAAGTGGTACAATGCCGCGGAATACTGGTGATAGTGGATTGTTAGCTCAGGTGTTTTGCGGTGTTTGCTGGGTTGTCTTCTATACGTGTTTTTCCCTCCAGAACCTTGCCTACGACAAAAAGAAAAGAAAAATAAAGAAACGTAAGCACATACATGTATATCTTTTTGAGTGGCACATAAGAAAATGACCAAAAGATAAGGGAAACAATTTCACCGAACTGAAAGTTGAGATAAAGGAAATTACACATGTATGTATATGGTAGAAGAACTTCCGCTGGATATTTACATTATCTCGCGTATATTTTAAAGATTTACGATGTACGATACAAGAAATAGTATTTTTACAGCCTTTAATTTACCGATAAACCGCCTGTTTTGTTTATAAGTTCAGATTTTATGACTTATAATCAGGTGAAACGTCATCAGCAGGTGAATTCTTATCAGGTGTTTTCATAGTTTTTTGCAGGCTTACACTTACTCTCACCTGGTGAAAAGTATTATTCACTCAAACGTCCATCCGATCTGGGTTGAACAAACTAATAACTACTAATTAGCATAGCAAAACAAAAGGTTGCTTCCACGTCCGCGGAAATTAGTTTTTTTTGGCAGTTCTGGCGCTGTTCTAATGCCGTTCGCATGGAAACGCCTTCACAGCCGCAAAAACAGCTGTTCGGACATTCACCCAGAAGAAAGGGCGCCGTGTGAAGGGGGTTTCGCTTTTTAAATGTAAAATACACTTATGAAATCTTAGGAAAGATATTTAGCCTAAAAATCATCTAACAAATTTTTGTATATACCAAAACTTTTCTATTTACAAAAAAATGTCAATCATGTTTTTTGATATAATATGGTAGTAAAAAATATAATAACGTTTATGCGTCTTACAAAACTGACGTAGTTCTATTACTAACATCTCTTTTTATTGGATTCAACAACGATTCTCTAGGCAATGTTCAACATTTTCTTGACCTCCTCCTTGTATTTGCCCAAGTTGTACTCGTTTTCCCCCTCGTTTATCAGTTGCTCCACACAATTGGCATACGATTTACTGGGAGCCACCTTGGGAGCACCCTCTTTGGCGTTCCAGTTGAGGATTCCCTCGGCGGAGAGCTTGGACTGGTTCCTCTCGAACAGATAGACCTCCATGTCGGCCTCCGATTTGGTTGCCTCCCAGGGTTCGGTGACGAAGGATTCGTGGTAGCAAGCGGTGAGTAAATACAGAGCGTAGTCGTAGTTCTGCTTTTTTTGCGGACACCGATCCGTGACGAAGGTGAGGATGTCCGTATCCTTGTTGTATCGATCGCCCACCAGCCGCAGGAACTTATCCCGGGCATGCGAGTCGAACTTAAGATCAGAGAGCTTCAGGGAAATGGTGACCCGCCTGGCCTCCGGATTTCTGATCGTGGGCAAACTGTGACAAAAGTCCGTGGTGGTGACCTCCACGGGGAAGTGGCGCTGCCACTTGGCCTCCGTTTCCAGACCCTTCGGCCATGACGTGCAGAACCTCTTGATGGCCTCGCACTGCTGACGAATGGCCGGTGGCGTCAAGTGCAAAAAGTTGGGTATCTTCATCAGCTCAGCGTTGGCGAATTTCGACGGGGCCGCCGCCCCGCGTTCCGTGAATCCCTGGCGGAGTGGCAGTGGCACACTGGCCGGGTGAAAGGAGCGTGGTCCGGGCCAAACGGCCGTCCAATCCTGATCCACCGCCATGCGACCGGTGCGCGGTGGTGTGATGGGATCCCTGCGCACCTGCTGGCGCCGCTGGAACTGCTGCTTCACCGTCCGCAAACTGAGCACCCGGAATTCTATACCCCGAACGTGAAGATATATTCATTAATGTCTGTATTTTCTGAGGAGCACCCCTTTGTTTACCTTCATCGTCTTCCACTTCTGGCTGCTGCTGCTGCTCCTGGTTGGAAAAAACGCGAATACTGCTCTGGGCCACCTGTTTTTTGAGTGGCAGGCGCTCCCACAAGCGAGTCAAACCGGCAGACATGGTTTTGCACTTTGATTTTTACTTACAAATATATTTTTTATTAAAAAATCAACCAATTTGTGCGGCTTTTACGTAAACCATGCGCCAACTAACTGACATTCGCCACGAACAGCAAATCCATCAGCTGTTCGCAAAGATGCCATTCACACATGACGATTTATGGGTTAGTCAAAAATCCCGCTAAATAATAACGGTTGAAAATCATTTGAATCTTTAAAAATATCGAATCTGAATTTTTATTTTGTAAAACGACGTTTCATGGGACTGCATAATTTTAATAAATGCATTTCATTTTTATAAATAACTCCATGACATCCAACATATTTATGCTTCTAGAGTCGACCAATTCCCTATGATTGCAAACGTATTACAGTTTTCTAGATGCTCTGTAGTTATAATAAAAAAAAAACTGGTCAGGTCTTAATGCGTTGAAAATAGAATAAAATAAGAATGGAACTTCTTTTCAACTACACTATAACCTTCTGACTTAGAATTACTGACGTACAAATTTGTGAAACCATTTTTCTAAGTGTTTTATGGTATAATTAGTTTAAAAACTTTTTACAAATCAAAGGACTTTTTAATGACTTGCTAAGGATATAGACGTTTGATCTCCGATCAATATACATTATACCTATATAAATTGATAATTTCTGCTTCATCAAAATCGTAGATTAATAAATACATCTCCAAATACATTTTATATACATTTTTATTTAGGTAAAATAATAAAAAATATAACTTTGATGTACTGTAATATGGCTAAAAAGAACAAGTTGAATCACACCCATTCCGGAATCACCGTTCGGGACTCCAAATTCCTCGTCTACCCCTCGTTGTGCATGTGCTCCTTTTATGTACATTGTTTATTATTAGTAAAACAATAGAAAACATTACGTTATGTTTTAAGCCCCTTGAACTAAAGCTACCGTAAACCTAATCGAATTGGAGAAGCAGCTCCCTTAGTGGATCTCCTGCTTCCACTTGTCGCGCGCCTCCATCTTTGCTTCCGGAACCAGTGAGCTCTTTGCGCCGCCCAGGATGTTGGTGGTGGCCTGGGTGGCCAGCACCGCTGGGCAGACGACGAGCTGGGGAATCTGGCGCACCACTGCGCCCACTGCTCCGCTGTAGCCCTTCTGGTCGTGCTCCGTGATGGCCGCTTCGATGAGTGTGTTGGCCGATTCGTTGATGCCCTCCCTCACGATGGTGTAGGCGTTGGCCACGCCCTCGCGAAGATCCTTGGGTCGTCCTTGCCGCCTCCTCTTGCCCTGCCTGCCGCCCTTCCTCTTCTTCATGGACGGACCTGCAGATAGCATATCGAAAGTAGTCTCCGCTGTGAACTGTAGCAGATGTATGATCCTGGAGGTGATCTCCAAGGCGGCCAGTGCTGTGCGGGCCGTGAAACTCTGTGCTCCCAGCTGGAATCCCCTGATAATCCGTCCATCCTTGTTGTACTGCTCTATGGGCATCCGGAAAAGATCGTAGACACCCTGGAAAAGCTGCAACACCGCATTTGTGGGTCCAATGCCGCTCAGTATATTGGGCAATTGATTCCGCTTGATGTCCTTGAGCCACTCCTTGGCCAGAAACTCGCAGAGTTTGTTCCATCCCAGGATGCCCCTGCGGTTCACAATTTCCCTTAGATTAATTCCAGATCCTTGCAGCTGGGCGAGACCCATGATCAAACCGGTGACAGGTCCTCGGGAGAGCTCAATCCGCCTGCCATGATAGTCGAAGCAAATGGGCAGCGCTGGACTGAAGATCACCTCGCGGAAAAATACAGGTGGAGCCGTGGCAGGATCCTCTTCCAGCTCGATTTCCACGCTGTTCTCTTCAATCAGCACATTCAGATTCCTTTCCACCATCTCCTTAACTTCGGAGTCGGGCAGTTCATCGGACAGATCCTCCGGTAATTTGCTTACCGACATGACCGGCATATCCGCTGCGGAGGAGCCGCTGCTCTCTGTTTTGCCGCCACTAGTAGCTCCAGCTGAGTTCCGGAACATGCCCGAAAAGAAGTCCTCCAGAAAGAGCAGTGTATCCTGGTCAATGTTGAGTTTAATGGGCAGAATGGAGACCCTCAAGGAACACTCCTCCGCAGAGCTCTTCTGTGGATTTGGACGCACATTCAGAGCCTTCACTATCACCATGTTCTCGTCCGGTTTGTGGGACAAATTGTTGCCCGTCGGGTGGTACAAAAACTTGTTGATGTCCGAGGACCGTAGTCTGTCCCTTATTTCAATTTCCGAGACGAGGAGCACCTGGCGAGATGAGTACATAGATGTCAACGGATAGGTTTCGTAGGAGAACCGAATCTTGGAGAGCTGTATTTCGACCAGCACCTCCAAGTTGCGCTTGGAGCCTTTGGGCTGCTTGGGCAGACTTTTCTTGGAACCCTTCCTGTCCTGTTTATCCTGTTCCTGAGCTTGGGACACTCCATACTTGTAGGTATCCGACATGCCAAAACCACTGGTGGCGGATGAAGAGGATTTCTTGAGAGGTTCATCCGGGAAATCCCGACCGCCATAAAGGTGCCAGGTGAAGGTCATCTCGCAGAGGGTGTAACTGCTCTCGGCCACAGGGAAATTAGCTGGAGGCCTCAGGAGATCCACCTTTTCGTGGGGCAATTCGAAGTGGTTATCCACAATCTGGAGCGGATCCTCCGAGATGTAGATCTGCTTGATGCCAAACTTGTCCATGCGTGATATTTCCTCGTCGTGGATGATATCGAAATCGCGCTCCTCCACGTTGCCCAGAGATCCCAGCTCCAGCTGCACTTCGGAGCCCAATGTTGTTTGCGGGTGCACTTGACTTTGGTGATAGTACGACTGCAAGATCACGTTCGACTCAAAGTCCAGGATGTCTCCGATGACCGAGGGACTCTCCACCATCAGGGATTTGGTCTGTTGTTTGGCGGGCGTGGATTTTCTCTTTTCCTTCGGCTCATCCGGAAAATAGAAGATTTCGATTCCCTCCTCCCTGCCGCCCGGAGATTTGGCAGCTCTGGGATTAGGTGAGCACTGTACATCCATCACAGCATCGGCCATCAGTTTGCTCACATGGTTCTGGGTGTGATCGCTCACCTCCTGTTCCTCATTGGCTTTCGGTTCTGCGGGCTTGATTTCCTCATTCAAGATGGGCTCCTCGGGGGGACACAAATCCCTGTCGTTAGCCACATAGGCTATCAGTTGGGCGAGAGCAGCTGCCGAATCGTAGCAGGTCTTCAGGTGCATATCGTGGATGGAGGAGCGCAGATCCACTCTCGGCTGTCCGCTTCCTTCCGCATTCAACCTAAACGATATATTCAGCAGTCCAAGATTCAGCACAGGTATTAAAGAGTCATTGGATTCGTTAACCAGACCCAGCTGGAGAACACAATCCTCAGCCAGGAGTCGCAAGGTGCAGCCGCTCATGGATGATATGATATTGCTGCTCAGGGTGCAGTAACCCAGATCAAGGAAAGCGCGCTGAGGGAAGAATTTTGGGCGATAGTCAATCCCAGCATTCCAAACATGCAATTGCAACTCGGAAACCAGGGCGAAGGGTTCATACTCCTCAATGGGGAAATCAGCCACGTCTATAAAGTCAATTAATTGATTCAGCCAAGTGTGCTCCGAGGGGCAGGAGTGATGCTGCAGGACAGCGCCACTTATCCCAAACGACATCTTCATCCTCTTGATGCGCTGCTCCGGTTGCTTCTTGATCTCAGCCACTAGGGATAAAACCTCCATTCTTTTTCTATCCTGCTGCTGATGATCATTCGAAAAATTATAGATGGTGGGAAGCAGGTTTTTGTCCGGCGAATCACTCCAGGCTAGCACCAAATCCTGGAGAGTGTTTCCGCAGTGCAAAGCCTCAATTTCGCCCAACTGGATGCAGAAGTAACTCCTGTTTGAATCGTTATCCAAGCCGTTTACTGTAAACAATCGCAGTTCCTTGACGTTCACCTGGAACTTGCCGCACTCCTTGGAGCGCTGATTGCTCTCGGGATCAAGAAAGTGGGAGAACAGAATCAAGGATCCCTGCTCCACGAATAGCTCAAAGGAGAAGGCTTCATTTCGAACTGGTGGTGCCGGTGCGGCTGAAACCGTTGGCTCCGCCATGGAAAAGTAAATACTGCTCTCCATTGCACTGGTGCTGAGAAGCAGGTTCCTCCTGAACTCCTCCAACTGGGGCTCTGCGTCCAGGTTCTTTGACTCTCCTGCTTCCTCCTCTGGATTGTTGTCATAGTGCGGGGAACGTGGCTCCCACATGAAGAGATCTCCATTCAGCCGGTTGTATATCAGTTCATACATGCTCTTGGATTCCAGCACGACCTTTACGAGTGGGATAAAGACAAAGATTTTCAGCTTAGAGGATTGCGTGCAACTATCGCAGAACTCATTGATTTCCTCCGTTTCACCCGGCAGAAGCGAATCAGTTTTGTCCAGACTCCCATCGAGTCCCTCCACATGGGAAGTGTAGCCAAAGGTACATTTTGAGCTAAAGGGCGATTTCCTTGGGGGTTTTTTCTGGCTATCACTGGTGTCCTTCAGCTGGAGTATGTCAATTTGGATCTTCTTATTCGACTGCATTCTCTGCTGGCACTTCAGGAGATGCACCGCACTCTGCTTATCTGCATCACAGTAAAACGCATCCAGTTCATCCGAAACGATGCTGATTTGAGTCCTCGAACTGACCACCAGGGAGCGGAACTCCAAGGCCAAGAAATCCCGTCGCACGTTCTTCTTCCACCAGGGAATCTTCTGCGGGTCATTAGCAGCTCTGCCATCCACAACGGGAAAACGCAAGTGAAGACGCAGATTCTCGCACTTTACACTAAACTCTGTTTGGCTGGGATCGTCTGGATAAGGATTTGAAGGAGCCGAATCTCTGGAAAACGGCGAGCAGCCAAAAAGGGCTCCCAAGCGATCGTATATAGATATATCCAACTCAGCCGTACACTCGTCCAAACTGCATTCGATTTTGTTGGTGCAACGATTGTGGTTTTGCTTGAACATAAACGAGGAGCTCTGGGTGATCACAATTTCCGGTCGGATGTGATAGCCATCCGGGCAGTTCCGCTGGCGATCGAACTGCAGCAGGTGCTCCATAGAGTTGTCCAACACCTCGCAGAGATCCACCGCAGTGGCGGACAGAGTAGTTCTAGACGTGAGCTCCTGGAAGTAGCGTTGCTGGCTTCCACCAACGATAATTGGGGCTGCTCGCAGCAGGAGATACTGCTGCTGCTGCAGGGGCATGTGGTTGTCGAGGAGAGTACCCAAAAAGAAACCACTGGCAGTGTCCGAGTAGCGAAGGTAACTGGCGTGATCGAAAACCGTGCTGCAACTGTCGATGTTGGCCGTGTTTTGAATGAGAATATCCTGGTGCAGAGCAACTCCATAGATCTTGGAGATTTGCACCTTGAACTTGAGAATCTCGCCGGACTTCTCCGTGTAGCCCAATTCCTGCTGGAGGGTATTGGTGCAGGAGGTGAGCATGCTGTTTGTGGATTCGCTCATCTTTCGACTGCGTGAGTAAGCGCTTCTCGGGGGATTACCATAGCTGGAGTATTCGGAGGGCTCGGCATCAGACATTCCAGTACACCAATCTGCATTCTGACCCAGAATCCCCGTCATTCTGGTGGGCTGTTGCTGATTTTGCATCTGGTACTCACTGGGTGGAGCCGACTTCAAGCTCCTGCCCTTTTTGGGTCGCTCCTGCTGGCCACCGCTGTTGAATCCCTTGGAGAGCTCGATGAGCAGGTGAATTTGCCGCGGCGTGATCATGAAGTATATGTCATCCAGACTCAGTTCCAGACTGACTTTCGGCCCAGCAATGTTCTCTGTCTGCTTGATGTTAATCTGTATGTTCTGCGCGCCCTTGAGCTCCACAATCTTGCAGAGCTGCTCGTAGCGAGTGGGTCCGAACTGGTGGTCCATCACATCGAGCACCTCCGAGGTGTGCAAGCTGAGTCCCTCGATCACCAGATTATGTTTGGCTATCATGGGCAGGGCGTTGAAGCTGCTGTTGGGATCTTCCTCGGTTTCGGTGTCCTGGGAGGTGGACATGGACATCTCGTAGCCCGTTTTGTTCTTGTACTCCACATGACTGGCCTGGAAGGACAGCACCAGTTTCCTATCCGATCTGGGCAGCAGGTACTCTATATTTAAAGTGGTATTCGTCAGCTTGGCCCGTATGCGATTGAGCACATTGTCGATGGTTTCGGCAAACTTCTCCAGGCCAATCAGGGCGTTATTGTGATTCAGGAAGGGCACATCGTCGTCCACCTGCTTCATGCACTCCTCGGCCATTTGCATGGAGCTGCTCACGGAGGACCACATGGACTCCAGCATGGTGGTGCCGCTCTGGAAGCGAGTTACTGGCCTCAAGGTGATCGTAAGATTGTGGATCTCCAGGCTGCTGTCGTTGGTCATCAGGGCGTTCCAGGGCACAACGACTGTGAGGCAACCAATGTGGCCCGAAACCACCTCGAAGGCCCAGCCCTGATCCTCGAAGAGGTCATTGAACGCGTTGACCTTCAGGAATATGTCCTCCACCACCGCCTTGCCATTGTAGAGATCAACCTTCAGCTGCTCCAGGTTCAAGTTATTCTCGAAAAACTGGCCCAAATAGCGCTGCAGCAGGTAGCGACACATTTTCGTCTTGAGGCCATCCCAGGGATTGAACCACGACATCTTGCCTGGGTTTTTACACCTAATCCGAAATTTCCCGATTCTCCTTTGTGCGTTTTAAATTTTCTTGTGAATCTGTTTTTTTTCCAGCGCAGCAGCAGCAGCAACAACAATAACAGACCTTTGTTATTGTTTTCTGGGTGGGCGAGGAAACAAGGAAACGGAAGAGTTGAGAATTGGGGCTCAAATCGTTGATAAGACTCTAAGGAAAATGCTTACCACTCACATTTTATGATTGGCGGGGGCGGAGGGCGGCTGTGGGCGGGTGTATATGTGCATTATTTTGGAAAATAATGAATTAATAAAGCGCAGTTAGGTGACCATCAAGTTGGCCCTTGTTCTTCTTCTTTCTGTTGCTCTGCGCAGTGTGGCCAGTTGTGGGCTGGGCGCAAAATAACGACTGTTTAGGGCGCTGCGGGGGAGGTGCGAAAGGGTGGTTTTGAAAACATAACATTTAAAATAAATTTAACTTAATATTTTTAAAAGATTTGTAATTTTTAATTATAAAAGAACTGGCTTTTTAAAATACACTTCAGGTAAATAAATTTTGTATTTAAATCTAGAAAACTATATCTAAATATATGTAAATATTAATGATTTTTACTTCTTTGTTTTTTCCCATGCTCATTACTATTTTAAGTACAATTCACTAAAATTTAAAAAGTATTTTGTTTTAACTATGCACGTAAACCGCCTTCAAAATAAAAACCACCTGTTGATACCCTGTTAAAATAAGTCATACTTTGTCCAGTGTTGGAAAACGCAGCTCCACAGCTGTTTGCTAAGTTCTTAATAATATTTTTTTTGCTTGTTTTCCTCTTTTGTTTTCCTTTGACTAACTATAATTATGTTTATTTGGCAATATTTCACACTTGTGTGCCTTTGGTTCGCCTCCAACGAGGCGAAATCCATCAAGAAATCGCATGTTAACCTCTTGGAGCCCACTTTCGATGTGGACGAAAAGCTGGGGAGGATGGGGATACCCCCGCCAGACATTTCCAATGATGTGCAACGTGTGCAGGTGCCATTGGGGGCTGCACCTGGAAAAGATGACTGGCAGGGCAAGTGGTTTCCCCATGTTCCAGGGGAACCGCAGGCTACGAGGGAGTCCAATGAAATGAGCACCACGGTGGGAGTTCCCCCACTGGAGTCCACAACCAAGGATAATTGGCATGGCAAGTGGTTTCCCCAAGCCCCTGGTGCACCACACCTGGTCATCCAGAACAAATCAGGCAACTCCACAACAAAGGACAATTGGCCGGGCAAGTGGTTTCCCCAAGCTCCAGGAGAACCCCACTTGATAAGCAAGAAGCCGATGGTTGGGAAAAAATCAGAGGATACTTGGCCGGGCAAGTGGTTTCCCCAGGATCCCAAGGAACCGCACAAAAGTAAACAAAAGATTTGCGATGACGGCAAGGTGAGTACTAACCTCATTCCGGAATTAGGGAAATCCCCATTAAAGAAATTAGACAGCACTTTATAAGGCTAAGTTATGATGAAGCTTCAACAATTCGCTTTATCTATTTTCTAAGTATTAACTTATAATGAAAATAAATATTACACAAATTAATGAGGGTTTCTTGAAAAAATTTAATTTTTTAATTCCATATATGTATGTAATTATTTCGCTTTACCCATTTTTCCAGAGCAATCTTGCCGTGGATTTCGATCCAACTGACATCCGTGATAGCCTGAATTACCTGTGCATCAGCAGCAACCGCAGCTTGTACCAGCCGAACCTGACCAGGGAAGCCATTCTCACGGAGCACTTCCTGCCCACCGCCTATTTGCCTCCTGCCAAGTGCCTTAATGAACCCATAAGTTACTCCCACCTTCCTGCCACCAAGTAAGGATATTGATATTTTTAATTTCCGTTAGGTAATAAACCTAAATATTAATTTTCAGTGGCCCCTATCGTCCGATGCCCGCTGAATATGGAACCTATACCTATTTGCCACCTCAGCGATACCTTCGCAACCTGGCGGAAGGTGCCATTGTGATGCTGTACCATCCCTGCGCCTTTTCCGGCCAAGTGAAGCAACTGCAGGACATTTTGAGTGGTTGCCTGTATCGATATTTGATCACACCATCGCACACTCTGAGTCCGGAGCGTCCTCTGGCCCTGCTCGCCTGGAGTCGCAGCCTGGAGATGTCCGTCGTGGATCGGCGGGTGGCGGCAGACTTCATCCAGAAACACGCCAAGCGTGGTCCACTTGCTCCGGAGGAAATGTCGCGGGTGGTGGACAAAAGGCAGACCTACAAGGAGGGTCTGATCACGGAAGCCCACTTGGTCACCACGGCGGATGACTACGAGGTGTGCGGCTACCTACAGGAGGAAATGTAGGGACAACATGTTAACTATTTGTTTTAAATAAAATTCGAATAATATTACATTCTCCTGTTAATTGTTGTGCATGAGAATCATTTAAGTATAGAGTTTGATTATTATATTTATACGAACATTAAAAAAGCGTTACTTTTCAGTGTTCCAGTGTGAACGCAGCACACTGAAACCATAACGCCTCTTTGCTTTTTGGTATTTCCGCGTTTCTCGCTTACTGCCCTCAGTTCGGTTCGGTTTAGTTCTCTTTCTCCAGATAAAAATCAAATTCAACTAACGATCGCCAAACGATCCCCACTTGGTCGCCACACAAACAACGTCGCCCGAGAACCGACGGCTATATCGTTTTCCCCTCCCCGGAGAGCCCAGGAAACCCCTGATCCAAAGTGCGTAGCCCCCCCGAAAAGTCGAAGAAGAAGAACAACAACAATAGAGGAGAGGTGAAACAAAGGAGACGCAGACTAAAAACAATTAAATTGGCAATTTGTGGGCGACACAACGTCCATATATCACGTGATTGTCTGGTTAGTATAATCCCCGAGCCAGGAACACAACTACTTGCAGCTTATCCTGCTTGGATTTCAGGCTTTACATAACATCCAAGGCGGTCGTTTCGAAGGAGGAGCGGCATAGGATTGCTTTTGGAGTGGAGGTTCAGCAGTTGAAGAAGGTGGAGCACAGGAGCAGCTAGAGACATCAAGGAGCCAAAAAGAGCTTATCAGTACCCCAGGGACATCCCCAGAAAACCCCTACTTCCTTCCATCATGAACAACCTGGCCGACACCGTGGTAGTGGATCCTGGATTCGGAGGCGGCGACAAGCAGCAGCAGGCCGGACCCGCGCCGCAGGATGCCAGCGTGGTGGTTCCCCCGCCGGCCACCAAGCAATCCTCGGCCCTGAAGAAGACCAGCCGCTACAGGAGCCGCTCGCTAAGTGCCTCCTCCACGGACTCCTTCAGTTCCGCCAGCTATACGGGCAGCAGTGAAGATGGCGACGATGTGCCGCCGCGGGAGAAGGTCCAGAAGAACACCAAGGGCAGCTCTGATTTCTGTGTGAGGAACATTGCCGCCCAGCATGCGTTTGGACGACGGGAAATCGAGATTGCGGAGCAGGAAATGCCGGGCATCATTGCGCTAAAGAAAAGGGCCGCTGAGGACAAGCCGCTAAAGGACGCCAAGATCGTGGGATGCACACACATCAACGCCCAGACGGCGGTGCTCATCGAGACGCTGGTGGAGCTGGGCGCCAGTGTGCGCTGGGCCGCCTGCAACATCTACTCCACGCAGGTGAGTACAGGTTTATGGCCCACCCGCCACATCACTCATTAAGCTATTTACTGCCAACTGTCGTCCGAATAGGTGATGGGTTTTTAAATTGTTTTTACGTGTTTCTCGTGTGCACTTTAGTCATTACATCAAAAATAATATCATACTTTAGATTTCAGTTTATATCTAAAGTTAGGAGGGATCTTTTCAAGGAGAAATATTTCCATTTGATACAATTCGTAATTTAGATAGGATTTTTAATCTTTATTTTGAAAAGTTCCTAGCTTTTTTTGCATATATCTTAATTATTCCATGTCATGTGCTGAAATAAGTAATATGCTTAAAAACCACACTTTATGGAGTGCTAAATGCATTGAATCGAATTTCCCTGAATTTATACCACAACTAATTTTCCAATATTTATTTGAATTCACATTTATATTCGAGTTTGGTCACTTGATCTGCCTGCTCGCTTGGAGACAATTGTTGTCACGCCAGGCGGCGCAAACAAATGATCAATCAAGCCATGTTAATCAATTAAGCGCCTGCGGCTCAAGTGTTTGGCAATCGCTGAGTAATTGATGTGCCCTGAATTGGGTCGCCACATCGTTGTGGAGTGGAAGTTATAGACGCAGTCTCATGTTCAGTTCCAGCATCGATTCGGCTGCGGTTTCTCGAGCTGTTTGCCCAGTCCTGCGGCGTAGCTGATGCAATTATCACGAGTCTGCTGACTCTAAACATTTTATGGGATCTCTAATGAAGCGATCCAAGTGCGCGGGCACCAACCTGCCCATTTATGCACCCACCCGTCGAAGCTTTTATCGCCCATGGGCCCCCGACAGCCTGTCACGCTGATTCACCTGTATCACCTGGGGCTTATCAGCCGAGTTCCGAGTGCCGTGCTTAGCGAGGGTGCAGCCCGATTCCGTATCAGCCCGATATAAGTCAGATATTACCAAATGTTTACACCGCTTTAGGGTGGCTCGATTTATAGAGCTCTTTGGGTGTTATAAATGTTAAAAATAAGTGTAATACCCTTCCAATTTTTACCATTTTCATTCCATTAAAACTTTGGGATACCATTAGCCTTTAAAAATTGAAGTGAGACTATCAACCTTTAAAGAACCCAATTTTTAAATTCCTTTGAATACTGCAGAAATTTTTACCAAAACACTAGGTAGATAATTTTCGGAATTTTGAAATATAGGAAATATATTTAGGTGGATCAACCTTTTATATACTAAGGTAAACAGTATTTTAGAAATGATGAATATATTTCCACTCTGCTAGTTATTTACAAATACGATTACGCTGACAAAGATATATTGGCTGATAGGAGAAAAAACTCATTTAAGTTTTTGTCTAATTATTGTCTTGACAAAATAATGACTTGGGAATATTTATTAACTAAAGTAGTATAATAATAAGTGTTAAAGAAAATGGATAGTTTTATAATACGCTAATTTAACTCAATACCTTTGCAAAGCAAACAACATATAACATACAGATTTAGCTCCTTTCTCTGCATAAAACCCACTAACATTCCATTATTTTTCAGAACGAAGTGGCCGCTGCTTTGGCCGAGTCTGGAATCCCGATCTTTGCCTGGCGCGGGGAGACGGAGGAAGATTTTTGGTGGTGCATAGATCGCTGCGTGAACGCGGAGAACTGGCAGCCGAACATGATCCTGGACGACGGGGGCGATGCCACGCACCTGATGCTGAAGAAGTACCCGACCATGTTCAAGCTGGTCAAGGGAATCGTGGAGGAGAGCGTCACCGGAGTGCACAGACTCTATCAGCTCTCCAAGGCCGGCAAGCTGACGGTGCCGGCGATGAATGTGAACGATTCGGTGACCAAGACCAAGTTCGACAACCTGTACAGCTGCAAGGAGTCCATACTGGACAGCCTCAAGCGCTCCACGGACGTAATGTTCGGTGGAAAGCAGGTGGTGGTCTGTGGCTATGGAGACGTGGGCAAAGGCTGTGCTCAGGCTCTAAAGGGACAGGTAAACCCCTCTTTTAACCATGAAGCCGACACCTAAACCAACTTTTCACCCTTTTCCACAGGGCTGCATTGTGTACATCACGGAGATCGATCCCATTTGCGCCCTGCAGGCCAGCATGGATGGTTTCCGCGTGGTGAAGCTGAACGAGGTGATCCGCAACGTGGACATCGTGGTGACGGCGACGGGCAACAAGAACGTCGTGGTGCGGGAGCACATGGACAAGATGAAGAGTGGCTGCATCGTGTGCAACATGGGCCACTCCAACACGGAGATCGATGTGAATGGGCTGCGCACACCGGATTTGACCTGGGAGAAGGTGCGCTCCCAGGTGGACCACATCATCTGGCCGGAGGGCAAGTACATCATCCTGTTGGCCGAGGGCAGGCTGGTTAACCTGAGCTGCTCCAGCATCCCCTCATTCGCCGTGTCCATCACCTCGGCCACCCAGGCCTTGGCCCTAATTGAGCTTTTTAATGCCCCGCCCGGACGCTACAAGTCGGACGTCTACTTGCTGCCCAAGAAAATGGACGAGTATGTGGCCAGCCTTCACCTGCCCACCTTCGATGCCCATTTGACGGAGCTGAGCGACGAGCAGGCCAAGTACATGGGGCTGAACAAGGCCGGTCCTTTCAAGCCCAACTACTACCGCTACTAGGATGGACGGTGCGCGGATGCGGACAATAACACCAGCAATTAGGAGAAACAACAACGCCAACGAAAGTATTGTCTTTGCGAAGAAGTAAAACTATTTAAAAACAATTGTTGACACACCACACACACAGAGGACACACAAAAGGACATGGAAAGGAGAACACAAAGTTACTATTACCATTGTATTGCTTAGTTTATCTCGAGCGGAATTCTTGGTTGCTTTTTGTTAGCATTTAACGTCTTCGATATAGTATTTAGCACTCGCTTTAGCCGCCGGAGTATTCTCTCTGTTAACTAACCCCCCATGACTCTCTAAGCCATAAACTAATCTTGCCCCAAGAATTTATCCCCTTGAAATGTTTTTACAGCCGGTTACTTGAATTTATTTTAGACATTTCGATGGCTTTTTAATCAGACTGTTATAGCTCAAAAGATGCGATTAGCTCATTGAATTCTTAATTTCTATAAAAGGAATGAATGGAATTCCATATAACTATAATTTTTCCCTTTGTAGTGTCTCAAATTTTAATTTTAATCTGTGTGAGCTACGATTTTCTAAAATCACTTCTTAAATGCGAGCTTAAATAGAATTTACAGTCTATGCACTACAGTTCTTCTACTTTCTCATTTAAAATCAATGTACGTCTTAATCTGAACGACTTCCCTGATTAATCCCTTTTTTGAGCTATAGCAGCCTTACAACAAGTGATCGACTTAACCTCTCGTATTGTTTACGTACTTAATTTGTTAATCGTTTATGCCCCCGCTTTTGATTATGGCACTTTTGTACTTTCGTTTCGTCCGGAGAGTGTTGATTGAAATGCAGTGCAAAGTAATTCCATTTATTCAATTATATACACGCTGGCATATATATCAGATCGAGAATTATATATATATACACTGCATATACACCTAATATGTATATTAGAGAAAAGTGAAAAATGTTTGTAAGAAATTTGTGAGAAACGCAAAACAATAAAAAAAAAGAATTCTTTATTGAGCAATATGCGCTGTTCGACTGATTGATTTTCCCCCCCATTCAGTAAACCCAGAAAGTCACATTTCGTATATTTCAGATGCATCACTCGTCTATTTCTCGTTTTATTACTCGATACTTTGCCTTAAACTTGTTATGTTTTT